AATAGCGAACCCCATGCGCCCAGCCGTCAGGGGAGAGAGTATCGCGGGCGCACGAAATCCCGACGGCTGGAGACTGAGCCTACGCTTTACCCGGTTCCGGTAGGAAYCACGAGTTTAAATTTCGGATGTCTTCGTCGTATTTCGACCACAAAATTTCCTCGGCCTAATGCACTGGGTACGAATGTTAAACCTATCACATGACATTCACAACTTCCATGTGCTATTTTATGGTGGCGAACGATAGAAGACATGGATTCAACTTCAATACGCCAAACTCACGTACAAATCCAACGCCATTCGCRGTATAGCCTCACTAGTCTAAAAGATATCGAGCGTTTTTTGAAAGGGAATTTGGAGAAATACCATCACGAATCTTCGTGAAACTTATCGTACTGCCTATCAAACAAGCTACCTATCTTATCAAAAGCGAACTCAATTTACTAACTGGTTATAAGCTTATAAGCTCTAAAAATTGGGCTAAATGTAATTTAGGCAAAGTTAAAACCGAGACAAGCTTGCATGTCAGCGGTATATACAAATAACTTCGTTGCGCAAGACCATACGCAGACCGTGTATTTGGCATTTTGCATTCCTTAGCTAGCTGGCTAAAGCTCAACCGTTGCGCTCAACAGCGTCCTTTTTCGGTCGGACGATGAAGCCGTAGCGGCAATTCTCAATTCCAGGACATCTAAAGTTCCTTCCATAATGGGCCTTTTACACAGTCTGCTTTTTGCCGCGGCCAAGTTCCACTTCACTTTCTCTGCGCAGCATCTCCCAGGTGAACAAAACACTATCGCTGATGTTTTATCACGTTTTAATTGGCAGGTCTTCCTCTCACAGGCTCCATGGGCCCATGCCAAGCCAACAACTGTCCCGTGTCCGCTTCTCAACCAGCTTCCCTCAGTTCTTTAACGGCACGCTGCCAAGAACTGATTCGTCGTCTTCTGCAGCCAAATCGGCAAACTTCATGGCAAAGTTCCACTTCACTTTCTCTGCGCAGCACCTCCCAGGTGAACAAAACACTATCGCTGATGCTTTATCACGTTTTAATTGGCAGGTCTTCCTCTCACAGGCTCCATGGGCCCATGCCAAGCCAACAACCGTCCCGTGTCCGCTTCTCAACCAGCTTCCCTCAGTTCTTTAACGGCACGCTGCCAAGAACTGATTCGTCGTCTTCTGCAGCCAAATCGGCAAACTTCATGGCAACGGCTCCGCTTGTCCTGCCGACGAGTGGACTCTTTGTCTGTTCRCGACATTTTTCTTGGCTTTCCAGATCCACTTGATGGCGCGTTAAGGTTTGAACGAGTGATCCGCAGAATKAAACGCTCGCAAGGAACTGATAAAATGGAGCGTCTGCCCGTCACCGACAATGTTATGAAGGCGATTGCTTCTCATCTCGACCTTCGAAAACGGATCATATTATGTTCTGGGTTGCATGTTGTTTRGCGWACTTTGGTTTCTTAAGTTCTGCCGAGTTTACGGTGCMGAGTCTGCATGCTTACTCACCAGCTTACAATCTGAATTTATCAGATATCACGGTTAACTCGTTAAACTCACCCTCCTATATCAGGGTTATTATAAAAGCTTCTAGAACTCATTAATAATTCATGAGCTATTAGTCCAATGAGCATCGAACTATTGGGTCACATGATKGGCCTTTATATCCCGATAAAGCACTGATGTTTTATTAATCTAAAACAATTTTTATGAACCTTATAAGACTTTCTGTGAACGTTTGGTGATTATTTTGTAAACGGTTGGGACGAAATCGGAAAAATAAAGCCAAAATTAAGTGCGTCAAATTCTTTTGTCCGAGCGGGGACTGGCGCGACTCTTGTGACGTCATCCCAGGCCATAAGTTCGGTCGCAAAAAAACTAAATGCCTTGTAAGTCTATTTTTCTCACAAAAATCAATAAAACCGCTAAGATTGAATGTATCAAACCGTTTTATATTCACTGAGAATTGTCAAGCGCTTGCCGTGAACTCAGTAGATTCTAATTTCAGCAAATTCCTTGTCCTCGGCACAGAATACGAGGTCATTTGAGGCACTTTTTTACCTCGCGAAAGACTATGTACATACACTGCAGTCTAAAACTCTCGAGAAAATGAAATATAAAACAACCACGATTACTGACATGAAAATATTCTTCCTTTGCAGAGAAATGTCAAGCGCTGAGCTTGATCGGCGGTTTCAAAATCGGGGAAATACGATGCCCGGCACTSATAATTTTGAACTGAAAACAACTAAAACTCTACGCTTTGCTTCTGGATCGCTTGGAAAGCGCTTAATATGTTTCAAGAACGAAAGAGTGTTCATTTCTGGATTCGTAGTCGTTTCATTTCATGAAATTAGAAAAGCGCTTGAAAGGAATTGTGTTTGCCTTATCGTACTTATTTCATTTTCTCGACTACGAGAATTTTAGACTACCGGGCATAGAGAACTTTGCCTCAAATGACTAATGGCTGTTTTGCGTATTTTGTGCCGAGGCCAAAACAAATTGCTGAAATTTCAGCCCTATTACTAGTGAACTGAGTTCACTGTAGACTCTTGACATTTCTTAATAAATATATAGCGGTATGGTTTATTCGTCTTGTGCATTTKGTACGCTTGATTTTGACAAAATTGAGCCATTTCTTCCGTCTTTTTCTTGCTTCGGGTCGTCGGGTCGTCGTAACTTGAAGGTCGATTCCCTTCAAAATATCTGGCCTGTTACTGCAGCCACCAACAACGCACTTGATGGGCATTTCATTCGCGAAACAGCATAAAAATCGATGTTAAATAAGATTTTTGGAGTTGACTCACGATAAAATCCACTGTCAAGCTTATCGATAACAACAAATGCCTTGTCCTGGGATGACGTCAGAGTCAGTCCCAGTTTTTCCCGGTATTGAACCCAAAAAAAAGAGCTCAAAGTGGACATTTTCCTATGTTTGTAAGCTCACTAAAAATTCGCTTTTTTATAAAAATGAAAAATTATTTAACAGATACGTTACCATTAACCTCAATTTTAATTTTAAAGATTAAAAAAAAAATCGTGAAGGTGCACTTTCATAAAAAAGATGTGACCATAGCTAATAGTTAATATTAACTATGATGTGACGAAAAAGACCGAGAAGAATGCAATATCATCAAAATATTTAAACATATAAACAAAGACTGCAGCATGTATTCCACGACTCAATGACATATTCCATTGTCTTTTAGTACCTAACTGACTACTTTSTCTGTGCAAAAACGGATTTGTGTGGTTGRAGCTGGACCAAGTGGAATGTCTKTCTTATATCAATATAACAAACTAAAACAAGAAGGAAAAGACGTCCCGCAAATTGTGTGCTACGRYAARCAGTCAGACTGGGGTGGTCTCTGGTTGTACTCCTGGGAGACTGGTAATAACATATAACTTAGTAAATACGGATTGGTTTGTCATCATTATTATCATTATCATATTATTTGTCATCGTTATTATCTTTCCCATGTAGTCATAGATCAATATTCTGAACCAGCACATGGTAGCATGTACAGAGGAATGTGGACTCCCTGATTATACCTTTCAAGATCACTTCAAAAAGCCAATACCATCTTTCCTTCCAAGAGAAGCAATGCTTGATTATTTGAAAGGTAAGAACTGAATTTTCGATTGATAAATAAGCCTGATMACTTTCAGAGCATCAAGGAGCATAACATTCAATAACATTTACAATAGGTCGTTGGTCCCAAAGCGATCTCCGTCAATGGATTAAATTCAACCATGTTGTCCGCCATGTCACCTACAATGATGACACTGATGACTTCTCAGTTGTCGTGAAAAACCTGCCAGAGGACAAAGACCTCCCAGCTCAGACATTTGACTACGTCATTGTAGCTATCGGTTACTACTCTGTGCCTAACATACCATACTTCGAAGGCATTGATCAAWTTCCAGGTAGGATCATTCATTCCCATGACTTAAGGAATGTTATCATCAGCTACAGAACAAGGGCACTAGGATATAAATGGCCTTCAGAGATTGAAAAAAGACCACTTTTGAAGAAGGTCGAAGGCAACACAATTCACTTCAAAGATGGCTCCAGTGCAGACATGTACTCAATCATCTTGTGTACTGGATATCGCCATCATTTCCCTTTCATGAAGGAGCGCTTACGACTCAAAGCCTAACGAGACTTGGTACCCACCAAAACTTTACAAAGGCGTTTTGTGGTATTCAATTGGTTGAAACAATAAGCTAATGTATATTGAGATGTAGAATCAGTTTTATGTGTTTTTCAGTTTTTCATGTTTGATAACCAAGCAAAGTGGGCATTGGCATATATCGTTGACGATAGAGAAGACCATGGAAGCTGATGTGGATAACTGATGTGAATAACTTCGATGGCTTCGGAAAACACTTTCGCAAAAACTGATCCAAATGAATAATGATGAATGGAATTAAAATAATAGAGAAGAGGAGCATTTATGTTGTTGTTCATAAGGACTTAACAACAAAGGTATMGCTTAAGCAAGTTCTGAAAACCTGACAACACAGTCATTTACTAACTGCACCACGCCTTCCCTATAGACGGATCTTTSTTTACAAGAGATATGAATGAATGATATGAAACTGTCGAAACCTCACATCCMAAGTGGACAGAGTCGAACAGGGTGGGGGATCCAGTTACAAGTAGCTCTTAAAAAGCATTTCCACAKGTATCCCAAGCTAGGTGTGGTCMTGTGGAATAACAGCTATAAATCACTCAATATTGAAGCAARTGGCCTTAAACTTCAGAGAAATTTCACTTAGAAAAACACAACACACTTCAGAGATGTTTATTTTTATTGAAATTTAATACTATATTTTGAAAAAAATGCTAAAAGAACAACCACTTAGCCTGGGATACATGTGAAAGTGCATTACTAAGTCGATTAATTCTCATTATTTATGTAACAAAAATGTTAGGKCTGTTTTTTAAGCCTGGTTCCAKGCTTAAAATCATCAAATACAACTTATTTGTGGACGATCGCAACAGAGCATTCACTGTAACCTTGGGCTTAGAGCTTTTGATTAAAGTATGTCAAGCGTGATATACAATGCCCKCCAGCCTTATTTTCGTGACCTCGAGATTATTTGCACGTATACACAGAATCATCTCTCTTATCATCTCTTTTATCGAAAATAAAAACTAAGGAAACAAACGAACAAACGTTACGCAAACCAAGGTAAGCACTATACGAATTAAATCATTAGCCACGGTAAACACGTCGCGCTGAACCAAGCAGTTTGAACATGGCACATAAACCACCGGACATATGAACCGGCGCGACCGTGACACTTCAGTGACACGACAACGCTAGTCGGGCTGCACTGCAAAAACTCGATACATATTCTTGATGTGCAACCCCCGAAGTGATAATTTATTAGTCATTAATACTTTTTGTGTCTTCTGTGCAAAATTGATTTATTCTAACCAAGCTTTCGGCCTAATCAGCCATTTTCAAGGTTGTAGTACAAGTGATAATCTAATCTGAACGCACTCGAGGAAACTGAACAAAACGGGCTCTGTTTACAAATGAAAGATAGTGAATAAAAATATTTTTAGGGAAAATGTGACAAATTAAATGGTTTTAAGTAATTGGATGTAGCTATCGGGCAGAGTTCTTCTAGTGTCCCTCCTATTTGATATGATGTTGATTTGTTTTTGCTATTAATACTGCTTCCATTCACTTCCTTTGGTGCCACCTTGTGTTAATAATATGCCTGYGTACGACGAAATTCTTAACAAATTTATTAGTCGTTATTTTCAAAAATCAATTAGCAAGTCACAAAGAGCATAGTCAGATTATCTAAAATGCGACCTTTAAGGATTGTACCTTACATTCTGATGAAGATATMAGCCAATAAARATTTAAAATATTTGGTTAATTTCTGTGGGCACGCCATCTTGGATGACAGCTTTTATCATCCAAGATGGCGGCTGATTTCAAATTGCCTCCAAAGAATCTGTTTTTCTTTGTAAATTTTGTTCAATTATGGCTTTATTTCAAAGAATAATACGGAATGAAAAGAATGATTTATCCAATTTCGAATTTTTATTTCCGATCTAAAAGTAGAATAAATTAAACTCCGCACAAACTAAAACGTTTGTGTTTCGCCACCAAAGCGTCGAATTCGTATGAAAATTTGCATACACACTAAAAAGAGGTATATTTAAGATATACTGTAAGAAGAGCTCTTTAGAAAAAATWTCGAGGATTTTTGCTTGACTATGATGTCACATGCTTCCCAAGAATTCAAAMGTCAAGCTATCGTCGTGTCAAACTAAATAATTGTTATGAATTTGCAATAAGCATAATTGGTAGAAGGGTTGCATTACCCTGGTCCTAAGGGACATTAGTTATACCATAAAATTGGGATCAGAATTGTTAATAAAGTGACTTGAAACTCGAACTGGAATGGGCAGCACGTAACATAATCAATAATACTCTATATGTGAACTAGGCCTAAGTCGAAACAGAAATTGCTCAGATGATATTGAGTAACGTTAATTTAATATAGCCCAAGAAATTTTCATACCATCACTATAGCTCAAATATTATATTATTTGCAGATTAACTGCACTCTTCAGAAACTAAACTTCGTTCAATGCAAACATAGTTAATAGAGGGGACCATTAACTATGATGCCAACTTGCATATCTTTCATGTGATCGTAAACCTTGTGTTTCCTTGAAGTGGAAAAAAAATATAACAAAAGGAATCAAAATGTCCTCTTTCGAAATTTTGCATATGATATCATTCCTTAGTTAACCTCACTCTAGCATGCTCGCTCTCGTAGCTTTTGCTTTAAAAGTTCACGGTCATCCACGCAGACCTGCATTCAATACGGTCACGCATTGTATATTTCATGTAAGTAAAATGAATTGACATGGATTATTCATTCAAATCTATCTCCATCTATCGGTTTTAAGAACCAACCTAACAATATACTAATAAAGGGAAAGTTTTCTTGCATAAAATTACACGATATTTTCTGTTGTAGGGGTGCCGGTTGATCGTGTCAGCCACAGTTCAATGAATTTTGAARTTTATCATTATTTTTCAGTGAAAAATCAACTACTATGTCAAAGCAAAAGCGAATTTGTGTGATTGGAGCTGGACCAAGTGGCATGTCGGTCTTATATCAATATAACAAACTAAAGCAAGAAGGAAAAGACGTCCCGCAAATTGTGTGCTATGAYAGGCAGTCAGACTGGGGTGGTCTCTGGTTATTCTCCTGKGAGACTGGTAATAAGACATCATTAAGTATTTACCAATCTCAARCCCAGAGTCTTCACGGCTAATATTACGGCTGAATCTTATCGTTTATATTGTTTTCCGATTTAGAGTATAAAAACGACAAAAAGAAAAAGGGTTAGCAAATAATGTATTTCAGGAATGGTACTAACACTCTTTTCAAGGCAAACATGATAGACYATGTGATAWATAGTGAGTCATCTCCAACCAATCACGAGTCAATAAATAACTCAATGCCCCAGTCTCTCTCACACATTGRCTCCGACTCAAGAGCAAAAGTGCGTGCACCCTGGGTACGAGATTGAGTAAAGCCCATTGATTTATTTGTCATCATTGGCATATTTCCCATGTAGGCATAGATCAATATGGTGAACCAGTGCATGGAAGCATGTACAGAGGAATGTGGTCCAACAACCAAAAAGAAGTTATAGAACTCCCTGATTATACCTTTCAAGATCACTTCAAAAAACCAATACCATCTTTCCTTCCAAGRGAAGCAATGTTTGATTATTTAAAAGGTAAGACTCGAATTTTTCAGTTGAACAAAGAAGCCTCTATACTTTCAGAGAAAGAAGTAACATGCACATCATACAGAAATTTACGATATAGGCATAAGAAGTATTACCAATATAAAAGCAGCACTTCATATAATGTGTCCTCTATATGCAAACAAGTCAATCTCCTCTTATCCCAGGAGATATGAGAATCAGACCATCGAAGTACTACAATTGCTATTGTCAATCAGCTGTACCGAAAAGAATKYCAAAAARCGATTGTTACTTTYCTATACATAGGTCGTTGGCTACAAAGCGATCTTCGACAATGGATCAAATTCAACCATGTTGTCCGCCATGTCACCTACAATGATGACACTGATGACTTTTCAGTTGTCGTGAAAAACCAGCCAGAGGACAAAGAACTTCCAGCTCAAAGGTTTGACTACGTCATCGTGGCTAGTGGTCGTTTCTCTGTCCCTAACATACCATACTTCGAAGGCATTGATCAATTTCCAGGTAGAATCATTCACTCCCATGACTTAAGGAATGCATCTCAGTTCAAAGGTGACACAATATTACTCGTGGGTGCCAGTGTCTCAGCAGAGGACATTGCAATTCAGKYATTAAAGTATGGAGCAAAAAAGGTYATCATCAGCCACAGAACAAGGCCACTAGGATATAAATGGCCTCCACAGATCGAAGAAAGACCACTTTTRACCAAGATTRATGGCAACACAGTTSACTTCAAAGATTGCTCCAGTGCAGAYGTGGACTCTATCATCTTGTGTACTGGATACCGTCATAATTTAGCTTTCTTGGAGGAGCGCCTACGTCTCAAAGCGACTGAAATTGAGACTTGGTACCCACCAGGACTTTACAAGGGTGTTTTGTGGTATCAAGGCGGAAACAACAAGCTGATGTATGTTGGGATACAAACACATTTATATGTGTTTACCATGTTTGATATGCAAGCAAAGTGGGCATTGGAATATATAATTGGTAATAAAATATTACCAGAYAAGAAGACCATGCAAGCTGACGTGGCCAAATTGATTGAGAGGTAATAATCAAATAAATAAAATGATACAGCATTATTGGTATCTTAAAGATCGGGGTGAAAGCGTAATCAGAAGACATGAAGAATCATAGACAACGACTCTAAAATGTGAAGGCCGAATCATGAATTTTGACTTGAAGTTGATGAATTATGAATCAGTGTGGTTGGAGTCAGGAATATGAATATTCACAAAAAAATTCACAAGCTACAATCTTATAGACAATAAGCGAAACACTCTATCCCCTTTCCCTCTTGCATAGTTGCACATACTACACTCGATCCCTCAACCTTGGCGATTTCGTAGCAATTCAATGACAAACAACATTGCATAAAGGGAGGGACATTGTAGTAACACAATCATAGACGGAGTCCTATACGATTCTGCCCAAGATTGTAAGAATCAAGAACAATAGAAGAACATTTGTAAGGAAAATAAATCAACGCACATGAAGGATTTGACTTCCACTCCTATAAAAAGAGAACACCGATAGAATTCCAAAACAATCAGAACTAAAAATTAAACCAATTGTTTTCTTATTCTGGGTTTTAATCCATTCCCAGGAATGGGTAAAGAAATGGTGTTCATGAAATGGTGAAAAGATACTTTCTCAAATCATACACCTGGTTCCTACAAACTACAAACCATTTGTTCTCATCGAAGTTAAMAATCTTGTTTTTCAGCTTGAGTGAAATAGAAGRTATGAACGGATTAATCGACTTCCAAACAGACTATGTAAAGAGTCTTGCTGAAGAAGTGCATTATGGTTGTGACGTGGATTGCGCTGATATGATTAAATATCGGATGGCGTATGTAGCGGATGACCCCCTGACTTACAGAGAYACATGTTACGTCAGTAAGYACAGCGGAGTCRAGTCWATMAAACACCATACTTCATTCATGGAGGCTTTTGATGACTCCATGGAAACTTTTCTTGGTACCAAGAATAAATGATCTGATGATATCACATGATGTTCTCATTATACAAAGTTACTCGACTGTTTACTTCCCCCTTATTGYATTGTTTGGGGGTTACCAAAAACATTTTTCAACTGATCAGGAGGGGTAARTGTAAGAGCACACAAAGTTTGAATTTCATAGAGCACATACAGCCAAGCCATTATTCGTTCTATTGACTCTATTTTTCAAATAAAAAATGTCTTGGTAAGCACTGAAATATGTAAACATTATCAACTTTACATAATAATCATATTAAAACGATCTCATAATATTCTACATTATATTATCTTATATTATTATACTACTTGAAAAAACGTCGTCGGGTCGAGAAAAGATGATATCATCGAAACTAACAAAGGAGGGGATTTTAGTACTGACTCAGAAATTCAAATAACTGTTTCCCAGAATACACAAATATGCAATAATTTTGCTCCTTTATTTTGCCCCMTTTATAAAAACCGACCGTCAGTATTATGAGTTTTTGACTTGTCCAGAAGGAGTACACGAGTACTTTCTAAAACAATAACAAAAATGGTATGTGATATTTTACAAGGTCACGTTCTTACATATGTAGACTGCCTTACAAATGAGACTTAAAAGTCTTTTGTCGATCAAGACCTGAAAATTATAACATCACTTTTGAGTTTGTCAATTTCATTTGTGTTACCTTTATTCTCCCCCCTCCCCCCCCCCCCCCCCCCCCCCTTACTATCAGTTTTTCCCGAATCGCTACTAGTCACGCTCCATTCTGTAATAACAAAGGAAGTCCGTTATTTTTATAAAGAAATAGACGCCTGCGGAGGAGGCCAGTAACTGCATGTTGGTTCTATAAGAAAAAAATCTCCGTAGATAGGATTTGATCAAACTTTTTCCTTTCTCGAAAAATGAATACTACACTGGATAGACATTTCGGGCCATGAAAACCTTTTAGCAAACAAAAATACATAACAGGAATATAAAAACCTCCTCATCCTTCTTGATGTCTCCTTTTATGTCAAAAGATGAGCATGTAACGGCATATGGCATATCGTCAGTATATGTCTATACTCTCGCTTATGCGATTCAACGCTGTCTTGTTTTGCATATGTCATCGTGTGCAACGTGCGTTACAAGACCATATTGTTATTCTAATGCCCTGTTATGCGTGACCTCGAAACTGTCTGCATGCACGTTTTCACAGGATTGTGTTCATATCTCGCTTATTCAACAGTAACTAAGGGAAACCAAACATACAGACGTTACAAAGAGCAAGGTAAGCACTATAAGGAATCAAGGAACATAACGAGTCATAGATAGACAGTTGTATATAGTTGATATAGGTATTGGTTACTAACGGGAAACCTATTTGCAAAACACGCACCTATCACTATAAAGCATGCACTAGCTATTTAAACTGCATTAAAAATAAGTAAAAGACAGCTCGTTGGGTTAGTTAGTACATGTAGTTAAGTAATGAGCATCTCATCTACTAATGATTGATAAAGGATAGCATTAACAGCAATGTAATGATAACTATGTTAAGCATGCACTAGCTATTTACATTATGTACTATGTTTGATCGAAACACGAAACGGTCGCCATCTATTTGAATTTAACTTCAAAAACTCATACATAATTAATGAGTTATTAGGCCAATAGAATGAGCCTATTTGGTCACATGCACGGACCTTTATATCTGATAAAACACTCTTATTAGTGTTAACTACTATTCTTTATATAAAGAATACCAATAAGGGTGACCTTTATCAGATATAAAGGTCCATGACCCTAGCAAAGGTCTCATGTTTGATACCTGATCCGGCATTGATCAATGCAGGATGTCAACCGAATGCAGTAAACAGCCAACAGAGGTGCTATTTTACTTTATGCGTATTCAATGTGGGATGACAAGAGTGCTTTGTAAAGTGMTTCGCGCATGATCAGTTCACCCCATTTATCTCAAAATTTATTTTTACGGCAATTTCTCCAAGAATTTCAACGTATTTGAGTTGCAAATTATTGTTGGAGTTTTTGAAGCCGTTTAAAACACCCGAGATCGTGTTTTAAACTATACCAAATTTCCTAAAGTATTTTATTTTGCCTTTCGGTGAGTGGTTAGATGGTCTCTATGTATCATATATATCGATCTTCATCAGTCGAAAAAAAATTCCAAAATCACACCCAAGCGAARCGGCGGCGAGGCGTTTACGTTAGTAGTTTTTACGCCCAAAAAGAACGTAAAAGCAAACCAATTAACGGAAACCTCTATCACCGCTTGGCGGCTCGATAACATAGTAAGCAAAAGAATTAAACACAAGACTGTAGAACCAGGTCACACTTGAGCGCAGKGAATGTAAAATTATTATTTCAAATTTATGTAAACCTGGATTATTGCAGTGCTGACTAGATCAAATTATAAATGGACAAAAACTGGAAAATGTRTCAATTATATACTCTTCTTTTTTACAGGAATTGAATTCAATTTTTATCGATAGCACCAAAAAAACTTTTTGAAGAGACGTGCACTCCCTTTCTTAGTTTATAAAATTAGCTTTTAATACTCAGCAACGAGCTCACAAAGTATAGCATAATCAAGCAATCACGGCAGAACCGAACTAGACATGGACGTTCTAGGTTATCACCTCACGTGAGAATACAGACGATGGTAGAGTGAACGTCACATAAGCATGAAACAATTCTTAATATGTATTGCTAAATAAGATTTAGTTATCAACTAACTAAGAATTCAACAAAGCATAAACACAATGCCAATTATTTAAATTCCTTTGTAGCATTGTTCTCAATTTTTAGTTAGTTGATAACTAAATCTGATTTAGCACTACATAGTTAAGAATTGTTTTATGCTTATGTGACTAGCACTCTATTAACATGCATTAATACACATATTAGAGTTATGGTTAAAGTTATGCTAAGGAAATACATTTGATTAGTGTCCTATGGTTCATGATGAGTTAAGTTTATGCCCCTCTACCTCATTTCGATTTAAACTTTAAAGACTTGCGTGCACCCMAGAACCTTTGCGCGATAATATGAAAATTGCAATCCTTGACTTTGAACCAAACCGCAAGCACCATTCAACAAGAGTTCATTTGCAAAACAAAAAATAGGATGACAAAGGTTACTGGATTTTAAAACAGGCCATGTTCAACTACCGTTGAATGTGATCGTGTTTTCAACTGCCA